TTATTTAGTACCAAATTTGTAGCATATCGTACTTTAATAAATATATTAATAAATATTTTTTAATTAAACTTAAAAAACTTAAGTTTTATATTGAGCCAAAAAGCGTTTGGAGACTTTTGGCGGGGTCTGTATATTTGATATTTTAAATAAGGAATGATAATGGCATAAAATTTGCAAGTAAAAAGTATCATATTTTTTTTATGAATTTCACTTTGCAGATGTTTTATTTTTCATATCATATGAGAAATAGTATTATAAGTCATATGATCTTTTTATTTTTATATTTTAAATTAGAAGTAATTAACTTGTCTCTTAAAATTATCCATATATTTGCATAAACGAATAATTTGTCTAATTTTATATTGGTCAATTTTACCTACACTTTTAGTAAGTGAATATTATATAAAAAATATATGAATACTAGAATTAATAGAGACTATATAAACAGACATATCTGCTTAGATTTTGTAGAGCTATTTTTATATTTTATAAACCCATGAAAATTTCCATTCATTAGTTTTACAAATGTATGTGATTTTACAATCAAATATTATTTTGTGAGGAATAGACCATCTTTTTTTAAATAAAGAGATCACAAATCACATTTACAGACCTCTGCCAAAGTCTTCAGATATCATTTTTTGGGTTTTTTTGTACTAATTATATTATGTGACTATAAAAAATTGCGGCTATATAATGTTCCAGTTATTGTTTACTTAAATCAAACCAAATAAATACATGTTTGGTTTATTTTTTTTGATTTTAGATCAAAATAAAATTTTATTTTTTTAAAATAATGAAAATGTCTAAAGAATTAACAATAGAACAATGCAATAGCATAATTTTTGCTGTTAATACAGTGATCATTATTAAACTATTGTCATGACTATTTATTAAGAATCTATAGGCTAGAGTCAAGAAGAGCATTTGTAAAAAGAAAAAATTACCTTCCAATCTTGCTTAACTCGATCAATATATTATAAAGGTATGAAAATAAATTCTGATATAAAATATCAAAAATTTAGTTGATAGTATGCCACAGCGAATTCAGATTGTGATTGAAGCAAATTAAGGTCTGACCAAGTACTAATTATTTATTACTAAATGTATAGCATATCGTATTTTAATAAATATATTAATAAATATTTTTTAATAAAATTTAAAAATTCCAAGTTTTATGTTGAATCAAAAAATGTTCAGAGACTTTTGGCAGGGATTTGTATTATGATCCAGATTAATAATAGACTTATGATAATATGTGAAAAGCATTAATAGATTGTGGAGATAGGTGATATAAAAATGGTTTTACATGAATTTTGAAAAAATTTGTGAATAAATTATTATTGTTTATCATAAATCTTTTTAAGATTGAAATAATAAAGATGAACTTTGTTGATTTTATTTGATCCTATATTATGATTATTTATCATATCACTAAAATTAATTAAAAAAAAATCAAAAATAAAAGAAAATTTAAAACAAAAGAAAATTTAAAACAAAAAAAAAAAACAAAAAATAATAATCATATTTAGCAGTCAATGCTTCATCAATTACCTCATCAATAATATTTGCAAGTGCTTTTTCATGTGTTTTTGAAGTAGTATTCTGATACACATTATAATTCATATGAATTTTACGTTCACTTCATATATATGATTTTTGAAGTTTCTTGTTCTCATGTTCATTAATGTCTTTTCATAAAGTTTAAGTTTATTTTCAATGGGTTAATGTTTTACCCAAACTTGTTATGATGGACCAATATGTGAATTCTTGGTATAGAAACAGCAGTATTGATTTTGTGAACAACTGCATTATAAGCATATCCTATCAAGCCCATCCAATGTTTCAATAGCAAGCTTTTGAGAGTGATTTGAATACACTTTGATAAGCAGTGTACGATTGAGAGTGGTTTTCAAGTAGAGGTTAAAACTGGCTAATAATTCTTTAACCGGTTAATAACCGGTTAAAATTAACTTTGGCCAGTACTATAAATTTGGCCAGAGTTAGACAATATTTTGCAATCTAATTCTGGTCGCAAATTGAATTTCGGCCTGGATTTAAATTCATCTATTTTAACCGGTTAAAAAAAACTTTAACCGGTTAACATTTTAACCATTTTAACCGGTTAATTAACCGGTTAAATATTAACCAGTTCCAACCTCTATTTTCAAGTGTTGTCGCTTGTTGCGTGCTGACCTGATCTTTGTCTTCCTAGCCTGGCATTCTCATCGGTGAATAGCAGCTCTTCTTCCTTGCATTTGACAGATATAGACTGTGTTGATTGCAAGGATATCTTAGGAAAGTTCGTGTACATTGGAGGTCGCATCGTCAAAGAGAACCACGAGTTTTGTAGTATGGAGGCAGTGTATGTACTGGATGAGGTCAAAGGCGAAGCAGCAGAGTCAGTCACAATGGGTAACCACAATTTTTGAGACCATTTCCGCGACTTGCCTGTTCCAATAAGGTCTTAAGTCCTGGTCACTTGAAGTTGATATTTGATCCAATATCGCTGATGAGTTCGTAGGTTGGGTATCGGGATTTGAGGAGTTGTTTCTGCCATTCAAGATCCTCTTTTTGCTTGACACTAGAGACACATGCATAGAGGAACCCTTTTTTGGTGGTGGTGTTGTAATCGACATTTTGGGAAGTCAACTCTGGAAAATGGAAGATATGTCGTAAAGGCGAGTACCAGAAGGAGACGTAATTCTTCTTTGCTTTAGCCAACGACGTAAGGTATCTGACGAGATTCCAGGTTTTCTAGTTGCCTTGTGTGCAGACAAATACATGGAGGAGAGAGTTTGAGTTTACGATTTTGAACGTTTGAGTCTTATATGATTTCATTGTTAACGATATTACGATAAGCAATACTAAGCAATTATTGGCAACAGCAAATAATCAGAATATCTGCGGTAGAATTTTGATATAACGTCAATATAGTTTTGTAAGATTGGAATTATAACGATAATAAAAATGGAATGTTGTTACTTCCAATTCTCCAATATCAAAATACTTTTGTAATAAGTTAAAAGAATTTTCAAAATTATTCCTCGCTTGAATCATTGAATTCTTCTTCAAGATATGTTAAGTTATTTTATGTGTATGTTAAAGACAATTTCGTCAAATAAAGTGCTTGGATATTTAATCTTGTTGTTCTTGGCCTTTCGCAAGAATAAATGAAAATATACTTTCTATAAAATCAATTTCTTTCCTTTATACTGCATAGATTTCTTCAGACGATTGATTCAAAACATTAAATTGGAATTTCTTCCATAATCATAGAGTGAAATCTATTCTTGTGGTAGCTTATAGGATGTTTTTTAAAGGTTTTCTTCTTCCTCTCAAGATAAGAAAGTTTCGTTCTTGTTAAAATACAACAATATGTTCTAAAACCGTAGAATGTTAATAAATAAGTTCGATTTGTGAATAAGAAATTGTATTTCATAAAAAACAATCTAAAGGGCAAAAAATGCCTTGACATTCTCTATTCATTTTTATAAAAAAGAAAAAAAAACTAAAATTTTTTTTTTTTTTTTTTTAACGTTAAATTCCCGTGAAAAGGTTTTTCTGGCAACAAAATAATTATTTATAGCTCAAGTGGTTGTGAAATATATGTATATTTATCAAAAATGAAATGCACAATCGTTGAAGAAATATGAAAAGATTTGTTTGTACTATTTCATATTTGAACTGGAGGTTGTAGAATCAGAAAACGAAACTGTAACGTTTCTGGGAATGTCTTTTTCATATATAGATGTATATTTTCATCAGTTAAACCAATAACAGTTATTACAATGAAAATGATTTCCGCCCACTGAATGATAATTTTCTCCGTAAATAGACTTGTATGTAGACCAGTTTGTCATGTTGCCAGAATGTTCGCCTGAAATTTATTATTTATACGATGGGTTTCTTTTGGGAAATTATGCAGAATCGTTTTCTTTATTTTTATTACATTACAAAATATTCCTTGTCGCGTCATTGTCATTTTTTTTTATAATTTATTTCTATTTTTTTAATTTCCCGATATTTTAATGTTTTATTTGTTTATTTTTATTTTTATTTTTGTTTTCGGGTTTAATTAATTAGAATTTAGTGATTAGCAGCATTATTGATTGAATAAAACGGAAAGTTTAGAGCGCCGATGTTGAGTCAACACTTGATAAATTTATTTATTATTAAATAACTTATACATCATAATTGCCCAAGTTCTAATTATAAAAATCTTACTGCTTAAAATTTTCATTTTCCTATGTTTATAAATATAAACGTAAAGAACTGAATGCAACATTATCATCATGCATGCTATATAGAAAAGTAAACACAATATACTCACAAAACACAGAGAAAATTAAACAATGAGAACATAGTACGAGTGGTCACATTCTTTATGAAAGTTAATACACATCACTCTTTCGCTCGAATTTACACGGTAGATGAAGTTAATCGTTGATACATTAATAATTTGCCATAATTTCAAAACCTTTAGATCTAATTTTGTTTGTTAAAAAGAATTATTAATAAGAATGGGGGGAACAAAAAGATTTATATAAAAAATTCTTTGTAAATTTGAATTCATCTCGAAGAAACGGAAAAGAAGTAATTAATTTATTAAGTGTCTAGGAGTGATTCATTTTAATCACTTTTGATGATAATTAGACCTTCCCATTATTTTTACCGAAAATATACAATAAAACCAATTGGAATAAACGAATAAACGGCGTATATATATAATATAATAATACTATTAAACAAGAAAAATAATTTTATTATAAATTTTTGTATGAAAAATATTCTCCATTAATTTTTTAATTTAAAAGTATTCGTGATTTAATTTTTAATAAAATTTGCTGATTATCATCCATAAAATATATCCTATTAATTTTAAATGATGATATTTGGTATCAAATATGATTGAATTGCTTGAAGCCGTTTGAGATGGTGGTTTACTTGCTTGAGATCTACAAGGTTTTAAAAATTTATTAGAAAATAAGAATTAAGAGCTCATAAAATTATTTTTTTATTTAACTTACAAACTAGGATTTATATTTGTTGGAGATGTCGAAGATCTCCTAGTGGTTATGGAACCAACAGAAGTCCTATAAAACAATTAATTATTTTAGCTTAATATTCGTACCCATAAATTATTATTTAAATGAATGATTTCTTTCTTACACTTTAGATTCGTTAGAAGGAGTTGGTTTAATTTCTTCAGGTTCCTGAGTTTTAGCTGGAACTTCTTTTGGAACTGGATCATCTGAAGGATTGATAAATGTAGGTAGAATAGGACTCATCGACAATGTCGCATCCGGTGTACTACAATACCATTGACCATACTCAATATTAATTAATTCTTTCTCGCGCCAATAATCAAATTAAAAAGTTATTTAATTACTTTTTGGGTACATCGAGTGTTTTAGGTGGTTCCTCAGGAGCTTTAGGTTCATTCACAGGAGTTTTAGGTTCTTCCATTGGAGGCTGCACGGGAAGTTTAGGTTCTTCCACCGGCATTTTAGGTTCTACCACCGGCATTTTAGGTTCTTCCACCGGCGTTTTTGGTTCTTCCACCGGCATTTTTGGTTCTTCCACCGGCATTTTTGGTTCTTCCACCGGCATTTTAGGTTCTTCCACCGGCATTTTAGGTTCTTCCACCGGCGTCTTGGGTTCTTCCACCGGCGTCTTGGGTTCTTCCACCGGTGTCTTGGGTTCTTCCACCGGCGTCTTGGGTTCTTCTACCGGAGTCTTGGGTTCTTCTACCGGAGTCTTGGGTTCTTCCACCGGCGTTTTGGGTTCTTCTTCGGGTGATTTTGAATCCGTCTCAGGAGATTTATTTGTCTCGGAAGGTATGGGTGTCTTAGGCGGTTCGGGAGATTTCGCAGGAGTATCCTCAGGATTTCTCACAGGAGTATCCTCGGGAGCTTTTACCGGTTCTTTTGCGGGATCATTGGGAGATTTTGGTGCATCCGGAATTTTGGGGTTATCCATCGGAGTTTTTTGTTCCTCCGTCGAAGTTTTGGGAACATCTTGGGCTGATGTAAGTATTAATGAAATCAAAAAGAATACCGAAAGTAAAAGAGTACTTTTTGTTGTGAATTTCATTTTTTTATATATATATATCTCTGTATATATATTATAATAAATTATGTTAGAGAAAATCAAGGGTAAAACAGCAGGAATTTAATTTATTTATATAGACATTTCGAAATGACACTTTGTTTTTTTTATATTTATATAAAATATATCATGCATTTTGCTTGATATGAAACCGGGTTTTTATCGCTGATAATATATCATTTTAGTATTACATCACTCAAAATATAATAACCCTTTTTGTCTATGTAAATAAGGAATAATTCAAAATGAAAATTCCATGAATTTTGTTTTTGAATCGTACGATCTTCAAGAACGAAATAAATAAATGAAATCATAATAAACCATACAAATTTCATACAATTTATAAAATCAGTATGGAGATAAAAAAAAATAATTCGTCCATAAGCATAAACCATACCATTTATATTTTCTAATGTTTACATTCATGACATTTATGATTTAGTGGAGTAATAAATCAAACTTAATATGGCAGTGGGTGATTTGCAAAAATCCAAGGATTATCTATTGACCAATCAAATTGATGGGGGTGTCAAATTTTTAATAAAATTCCCGTTTTTTCTTCCTCGAAAGAAATTCTATTAATCGGATTAGGCAGTTAGGAACGCCCTCTGACGAACGAGTATGAGTTTCTTTCATCGAAAATTCGAACGACTAATCCCTATATAATTTGAAATCATAAATCATAGTGAATTTCCTTCTCTTATTTTTAAACATTAACTGCGGCAACACATGGAAAGTTTCAGAAAATTTTTGCAACAAATTATTATATACATGGGCTTTAAATATTCGGAAATAAATTTTGGTTAGAATTACTTTGGGGTTTTTCCAAACAGTTGACTTTGTTAGTATTGAAATCGTTCGAAAAAAGTGATGTCTAAAACTAGGCAAATTTGGTACATTTTAATACCTCAACTTTGAGACCGAATGTTTTCTGAATTATACGGAAAAAAATAAATAAAAGAAAACCAATGCGTCACGTGATTACATTTTGGCGGGAAAACAATAATTAAAAATTGGCGATTAACTCCCCCAGTTTTTATAATTAATTATATTCCACAAATATACATTATAAAAGTATCAAACATTTTCAAAGTCTATTTGTACAACTTGATTCTATCAACAATTCTAAATGTTTCAGCATAAACCTTACGAGATTAATAAATAAACTATTATTATTATCATTTGCTCTCACTCCATCATTATCTGCATAAAAATCTCTTGCGTAACAAATTTTTTTCTCACAAACCATAACATTAAACTTCTTTTTCATATTTTTTTTTCATTATTGCTCACAGATTTTGATCGGATTATATAATTGCTGAAAAAAAAAGTGTTATATAATCCTTATATGCATGAGAAATAATTTAGGAAGTAAATCGTATGGGACAAACGATTTCGCTCTTTAATTTATATACTGTACATTAAGAATATTCGTATGATTTTATAGTCGACATTTAATTTCGAGGTAAACCTCCTAACTGAAGAAAAAAGGGAGTCCAAAAAGGAAAATGACAGTTAATCACATGAAATTTAAGTTAATTGAACGCGAATTATAATAATTTAACTTTATCAAAAGTTACTTACTAATAAAATAATGAAACAAAATTCGATTCACATTATGATAAGTCAAAATTGCAAAAAAGCATCTCTTGTTTCTTAAGTAACGTCTACATTTGATGAAATGTGCACTTTAGTAAAGGTAACGTTTAACAAAAATATTTAAAGAGATTTTATAAAAAAATATAATTAAATATAAAATGCTTCATTCTTGTCACCATGGCGCTACAACGTCAGTCCCCTATATCATACTCTTTTCTATCAAGAGTTTATGTCTTTAAATCCAGAGTCATTTAGGAATCAAAAGAATTTGGTAAATGTTTAACTTAAAACTCTTTCTATGCAAAAAATTTTTCATATAATATAAAATTTTTTGATATTAAAATTATTTTTCTTTATGAAATGATGAATTTATGAATACGTCATAATGTTAATTATAAGGCATGCATTATGCATTCTGTACGACAATTATTGAAGCCTATAAAAATTTCATTTGCAAGGCTCACTTTAACTTTTATAACTATGTCTGTCAATAACAACAAAGGCAAAAATATCATCAAAAGAATAAAAAAGCTTAAAAATATATTTATCCGAATAAATAAAAGTAATAAAAAAGAAGGTGCTGATTTAGTTGAAGTTGGTAGGCATTTTTTCGTAACTTAAACCTAGTTTATTTGTGAAACGAGAATATTTTAAAATAAATTTTGTTTAAAAATAACATGCTAGAGCAAGTTTCAGATGCCCCTACATTAAATGAATTATATGAAATAAATGGTAAAAATAATTCATATATTTTTTAAACAAAGTTATATTCTCAGTAATTAATTTTATTTTTTAAAATTTAATGATATTATAGATTTTAAGTCATTTATTTCTATCATTTTTAGAATAATTATTTTAAATTCAAATTATTAAAAATTCTTCAATGATATTGTAGGGAGTAAGTTATCTTTGTTCTTTGTATTGTAATTTATCATAAGCTAAATATTTTATATTAAAAAATTTTTATGGCTGACGTCAAATTATAGTTTGTAAGTATTTTAATTCAATATTTCGTCTTCGTTATACTTTTTACTGTAATTTATGTCCAACTAAATTTTAATGGTTTAGATGGTAAGGCATTATTATTGATAATTTATAATACCTTTTACTATGATTTTTATTTAACTAATTTGATAAAATTTTGAATATTAAAAGAAAGTAAGTTTAATTCATTTGATTAATAATTACCGGTATATTTAATAAAATGTATACTGTAAATTAAACTTGGATAAATTTATTAAAAATTTAGATTGTAAGCCATTTTATTGGCTAACTATATTTAATTTATAATATAAACAACTAAAATTTCATTCAAAAATTATTTAATAATTAATATTATAATGGTTAGTAAGTTATTTTATTGATTATTTATTGTTATTAATTATAATTTTTATTTGTAATTAATACTCAAAGAAATATTTATTTAAAAAAAAGGAATTAAGTAGATTTTTATTTAATTATTTATTTAATTATCATTTAAGCACAACTAATTTTTTTATTAATTTTAATTTAAGAATATAAATTATTTTAAAATGATTATCTATTTTACTGTAATTTAAATTCAATTATTTAAATGTATTTTTAATAATTTAGATAGTAAGTATTTATATTGATAGTTTATATTTAATTATTTAATTATTTATAATTTAAACTTAATTAAACGTTTTATAAATTATAGATTGTAAGTTACATTTATTGATATTAAAATTATAATTAAACATAACTAAATCCTTTTTTAATTTATATAATTTTAATAATTTAGATAGTAAGTTATTTTTATTGATTTTTTTATAATTATAAGTTTAGCAAATTGCACATTGTCTATTTTTATTTTAATATATTTTTATTATAATTATAATATAATTATTATTTATTTAAAAATATATAAATAAATAATATATTAGTTGGTAAATTATTTATTAATTAATTACTATATTTATTTATCTTTTTACTATAATTTTAAATAATTTAATTTTTTATTAAAAAATATATTTAATAATTTAGATTTTAAGTTATTTATCTTTATATTTATATTGAATTATTATTTAAACTAATTATTTTATTTTAATTTAAAATACAATAATTTAGTTAGTATGTTATTTTATATATTAGTTATACTATTTACTTTATATTAAAATTAATTAAATTTTTATTAAATAAATATTTAAAGATTAGAAGATAATTATTTTATTAATTATTAATATTTAATTATATTTTTATTATAATTTAAACTCTATTAAATTTGATATTTATTAATTATTTATATAAAATTATTATAATTATAATTTATAATAAATATTTTATTTAAATAAAATTTCAATTATTTTAGATGGTAAAATAGATTTTATATTTGTTTATATTTATTTAATTTATTGAAATTTGAATAACTAAATTTTTTATTTAAAAATATTATCCCTTAAACTGTAAAGGTTCGCAGGCAAATTTGCCTGCTTATTTACTATAAATTCTCTTCTGATTTACTTTTA